GGGTGCCCTATAAGAAATCTGTGGAGAATTTGAGGGAGTGCAGCTCGTAGTCACGCTGTGCTGCAACGTGCAGTAACACCCGAAGAGTAGTCATCTTCGGGGTGGGGGAGAAGGTCTGAAAGAAGTTGACCCCCTGTCGCTGACTGAAGCCCCGAGCAACGTGACGTGCCTTGAAGGCAGGCGGAGAACCCGGCGGCCTCTTCACTCCAAAAATCCACATGCCATCGACTATGTTCGAACCAGGAGGGGGAACCTCGTCGACGGAGGTGCCTGTGGACTTCTAGGAAGCCATCTCTGCGTCCATGGCTGTCTGCCACTGAGAGGAGTACTCACCCGTGATTGCCTCTGCGTAAGAGCGCGGGATAGGGATGTCAAGTGCATCTGGGTCTCCCTCAGGGCAAAGCAGCATGGACGCAAAACAAGGTAAAGCGGCCGCGAGACACTCAAGCTCAAACTGCCTGCCCTCAAGTACGTCACTGCTCAGGGCAAGCTCACCCCCGACGGACGGAGGACAGACAAACTCAAACTCAGTAACCAGACTCACGACGTAGTCGAGACGACGGGTAGCAGCAAAGTCGACTAGCTCAGTGACTAGGGAAAATGCAGCAGTAGACTCAAAGGATGGGTCAGTGACAACAGTGGCGAGGAGATGAGTGACAGTGGGATTAGTAGCACGAGCAAGGTTGGACTCAGGGTCAGGAACGTCAAGAAGAGAGGACGCCGGAGGAGATGGCAGAGCAACACGCTGTGGAACAGAGGAAGGACGAAGTGCCATAGTGTGCGTGCCGGGGACAGGTGGAGGACGAGAACAATGAGCACGACTGACAGTGCGAACAGGGGAGGCAGGACGAGACTCAGGCTCACGACGCTCAGCCTCGGAGCCTGTTTGTGCAGGGTAGGGAGAAAGAGCAGGCAGTGGAGAGCCAGGCAGTAACTGCAGCTGTGACTGGTCAGGCGGAGGACATAGGAGAGGCGAAGTAAGGCCAGTAGAAGACGAAAGACTAAGAACCTGACAAAGTGCCGAGTCTGCGCGGCGCAGTGCCCGTACCGTCAGCAGCTCCAGCACCTCTAGCACCTCCAGTACCTCCAGAACCACCAGCTCTAGTACCTCCAGTACCTCCAGCTCCAGTACCTCCAGCACCAGCAGCTCCAGTAACTCGAGCACCTCCAGCTCTAGCACCTCCAGCACCAGCAGCTCCAGTACCTCCAGCACTAGCACCTCCAGCATCAGCAGCTCCAACACCTCTAGCACCAGCAGCTCCAGCACCTCCAGCACCAGCAGCTCTAGCACCTCCAGCACCAGCAGCTCCAGTACCTATAGCACCTGCAGCTCCAGTACCTCCAGCACCTCCAGCTCTAGCACCTCCAGCACCAGTACCTCATACACCTCCAGCACCAGCAGCTCCAGTACCTCCAGCATCTCCAGCACCTCCAGCTCTAGCACCTCCAGCAACAGCAGCTCTAGTACCTCCAGTACCTCCAGCTCTAGCACCTCCAACACCCGCAGCTACAGTACCTCCAGCACCGGCAGCTCCAGTACCTCCAGCACCTCCAGCTCTAGCACCTCCAGCACCAGCAACTCTAGGACCTCTAGCACCTACATCACCATAGACTCCACCACCAAGACTGCATCGCTGAACAACCCAGTCGCGAAGCTGCTGCGGCAAGAGAGTCTCCTGTCGACGAGACTGCTGCTGCTGTCGTACGCCAGAACCCCGAATAGGAGCACCCACGACTCCACCACCACTAGGACTCGCAGTACCCCCAGTGTCAGCACCCCCAGAACCGGCACCCCCAGCGTGAGCACCCCCAGAACCAGCACCCAGACTCAGCACCCTCAGGGTCCCCACCCTCAGCAGCACCAGAGTCCACTGCGACAGGCTGCGGAGGCGACGAAGACGGCCAAGGTGGAAAACCAGGAGGGGTCTCCAAGCGCGGGGAGCGGCGAGTGGCCACCGTGTCGTCAGCAGCGGGGTCACCCCCCTCAGCTGGGCCAGAGGTGTCAGAGGAGACCTCCAAAGGCTCAACCAAGGGGGGTGGGTCAACCTGAGACACACCTGAGGGAGCACGACCCTGTGGGGGGAGGGGGTCTACTAGGGGGGGACCTGGGACCAAGAACAGGGGCGCCCCAGACCTGAAACGCCGACGCATCGCCAACCTCCCCCGTCTAACGCAGTGTAGGTGAGGTCTCTGGCACAGAGACACGGGGCCAGAGGTTGAACTGATGCGCGGCATATCGGACCGCAAACGGCCACAGAAAATGGGGAGCGGGATCATGGAGGAGCGAGCAACCTCCATGACCAAGCCAATGCGACGCTCAGCAATCCCATTCTGCAGTGGAGAGGCCAGAAGCGTGAACGACTGGGCGATGCCCTCCGCATGACAAAAGTCTTGAAGGAGGCTGGAGAAAAACTCACCGCCTGTGTCAGAGTGCAGTCGTAGGACCGGGAGGTCCTGCTGAAACCGCGCGCTCAGCTGGCGACGAACAGCGATGATCCAGTCGATCAAAACACCACGGATATCTGCCTTGCTCCGCAAGGGGAAGACCGTGGTGTAGCGCGTGTAGTCGTCAACAACCAGCAGAAAGTAGCGCTCCTGGTCGTGTCCACGAATGCGGGCTGGGCCCAACACGTACATGTGGAGAGTCTGCAGAGGAGCAGTGGTCGGCGGAAACGAGGAGGAGTGAGGAGCGGCGCGCTGCTGCCCCTCGACGCACGGAAGGCACGGCGGTGCAATCAAGCGCAAGAGTGGGGGCATGGACCTGGGGAGGCTAGAGAGAAGGAGACACGAGTGCATGCCATGAAGGCGCGGCAGGGAGGGGTGACCAAGACAGTGGTGCCAGAGGAGAGTCTGGTGCGAGAGTAGCCGACACGAACAAGACGCAGCTGACTGACCCGAATCAGCCACCTGACCTAACACAGCCAGCTGTGTAGACTCAGTAGTCAGTGTGTACAGGCTAGACCCAGGCCTCCGAGTGAACGTGGCGAGGTGCTCGCCAGCGCGTGAGTCCGTACAGATCGCCACAAGCTCACTCCCAGGAGTAGTCACAATGACAAACTGGTCCTGGAGGACAGCGCTACTCACCAAGTTCTTAGAGAACGAGGGGAGGTGGAAACATGTGAGGGAGCCTGAGGGGGCTGTTAGATGCAGGAGAACAGTGGAGGCACGTGCTACAACTGGGCCCCCAGAAGGGTCAGCCATAGAGACCATGACAGGTATAGTGAGCAGTGTGACTGTGGTGCAGTCGCGGAAGAAGCAGCGAGTCGCGCCTAAGTCAAGCGTGAAGGTGTGCAAAGCCTCTACAGAAACTGCACCTGTGCTACCAGGCTCACAGGCACCTAGACTAGTAGCCTCTGCACTACCAGGGATGCGTCGCTGAGAAACCCACTCGCGAAGCTGCTGCGGTGAGAGGGTCTCCTGCTGACGCTGCTGCCGCTGCTGTCCAGTACCTCCAGCACCATAACCTCCACCACCGGGACGGCCTCGTTGAATAACCCACTCACGAAGCTGCTGTGGCGAAAGAGTCTCCTAGCGACGAGACCGCTGCTGCTGTCCAGTACCGCCAGCACGCATGAAATCCCAAGCTCCAGGACCAGAGCGGCCTCGCCGAACAACCCACTCGCGAAGCTGCTGTGGCGACAGAGTCTCCGGCTGACACTGCTGCTGCTGTCCACTGCCAGACGCTGCTACGACGGTGATAGTGGCCATGACAGGCATTGGCAGTCAGTAGCAGCAGCGCAAGGGCATCAGAAGCGACCGCTGTAGTTGCAGCTGTAGCAGTAGCGGTAGTCGCTGTAGTGGCAGGGCAGCGCACGGGCTGCAGGGCAGGGCAGCGCGCAGGCTGCAGGGCAGGGCGGCGCGCGGGCTGCAGGGCAGGGCAGAGCGCGGTCTGCAGGGCAAGGCGGCGCGCAGGCTGCAGTTCTACATGGGCAGGGCAGCGCGCGGGCTGCAGGGCATGCGGGCAGCAGGGCAGTGCAGCGCACGGGCTGCAGGGCAGGGCGGCGCGCGGGCTGCAAGGCAGGGCAACGTGCGGACTGCAGGGCAGGGCGGTGCGTGGGCTGCAGGGCAGGGCAGCGTGCGGGCAGCAGGGCAGAGCAGCGCGCGGGCTGCAGAGCAGGGCAGCGTGCAGGCTGCACGGCAGGGCGGCGCGCTGGCTGCAGGGCAGGGCGGCGCGCGGACTGCAGGGCAGCGGGGCGCGGGCAGCAGGGCAGGGCACGTGTATGCGATGCACGTGCAGGCAGGGCGCGCGTAGGCAGCGCGCGTGCGGGCAGAGCTTGCGTGGGCAGCACGCGGCGAGCAGGGCAGGTCGCGGCGAGCAGAGCAGGTTGCAAGCTGCGCGTGTGCGTGGCGCTGGTCGCGCGCGGTGAGCAGGGCAGCACGCGGCTAGCAGGGCAGCGCGCGGCGAGCAGGGCAGCGCGCGGCGAGCAGGGCAGCGCGCGGCGGGCAGGGCAGTATGGGCAGCAGCGCAGCACGCGTGGCAGCAGGGCAGCGCGCGGTGGGGCAGCGCAGGGCAGGGCAGCGCGATAGTGCTGGGTAGGGCAGGGCAGCAGTGCGTGGCGAGCAGGGCAGCGCGTAATGGCAGCAGCTCCTGGGGCAGTACGTACAGTTGGTGGGTCCTAACAAAGCGGTCCTACGGAGGGACCTGCTCTGAATACCATGTCAGAAAAAGAACGTAGGAATGATGACTAGTAGGGAATAGTGAGTACAAGTACTAGGAATGACCTAAGGTGTTGTACTCCTTGGAGTATGCCCCACTACAGTCTAGAGATAACAAATGCAATTTGACAACCGTTTCCCCGGCGCCCTTGTTTTTGGCGTTGGCGCTTCCCCGCGCGGTAAACGTTGTCATGAAAATGTTACGAATCTGACTTAACTAGGCAACGGGTTTAACTTAGGGCCTAGGCTTAGGAGCCTAGGCCAGGCAGGAGTCGAATAGTTTGAGGCAAGGAGAATCGAGAATGAATTGGTTTCACTATAGTACACAAGGTACATATAGCAAAATGAACAAAGGTGCACCACCAAGAATAGGAACTACACTACAGTAAATCCTACAGACAGTTATATAACATAACATTATAATTATAATGTCAGACACACCCTCGTAACTGCATGCAAGAGAAAACCTGTGTAGAACACCCCTTGAAGGGGTACACCTGGCGCAGCGGAAGACGGCAGAGGGGTAAGTGTGGAGGAGGAGGCAAGAGAGAGAGAGAGAGAGGAGAGGAAAGGAGAGAAGTACGAAGGAGGAGGTGAGAGAGGGATGAGGCGAGGAGTTGAGGGGGAGCCACCCGTGGCGAAACCCTCGTAGTAACCCCCTTTTGCAAAGGGGGGAGGTGAGAGAGCGACGAGGAGAGGAGGTGGGGGGGAGCCAAGCGCGGCGAAACCCCTCTTAGTAACCCCCAAATCCCCACACCCATTCAACCACCCCCCCTTAACCTCACCCCCCATAACAGCTGCCCCCTAGGACCGCACCCCCTCCCCCCCTTCCTTCCTCCACACCCCTGCCCCACCCACGGTAGTCCCTGTAGAATCCTTACCGCCACCCCCTCAGCCCCCCCCCGAACGGCAGAAGTGGGAGTGAGCGAGAGGAAGAGGAGGCGGCAGGTCTGCTCCTTCTCACGGCGGCCAACCCTCCAACCCCCCGTCCCCGCCACCTCCCCCCCACTGTAAGAGCCGCGGGAGGGGAGACGACGGGGGAGGGGGGGGGGGGGGGGATAGAGGGGCGGGCGGCAGAGCGTGCGGCTGGCGCTGGCGGTTGTGCTCTGGCGGTGTCCCTGCTGGCGGTGTCTCTGCTAGCGGTGTCGCTGCTGGCGGTGGCGCTGCTGGCGGGGTCGCTGGCGGTGTCGCTGCTGGCGGGGTCTCTGCTGCCGTTGTAGCTGCTGGCGGGTCTCTGCTGGTGGTGTCATTTCTGGCGGGGTCTCTGCTGGCGGTGTCGCTGGCATTGTCGCAGGCGGTGTCTCTGCTGGCGGGGTCTCTGCAGGCGGTGTAGCTGCTGGAGGAGTCTCTGCTGGCGGTGTCTCTGCTGGCGAAGTCTCTGCTGGTGGTGTAGCTGCTGGCGGGGTCTCTGCTAGCGGTGTATCTGCTGGCGGGGTCTCTGCTTGCGGTGTCGCTGGCGTTGTCGCTGGCGGTGTCGCTGACGTCGGTGGTGGCGGCAGTTGCTGGCGGGTCCGACGGCGGGTCCGTCGGCTCGCTTGCTTGCGGGCTCAAGGGTCTGTTGGCGAGCTCGCTAGTGGGCTCGTCAGCGGGTCCGTCGGGGGATCCGTCGGCGGGTTCATCGGCGCGCTTGCTGGAGCGCTCGTTGGCGGGTCCAACGGTGGGTTCGCTGGCGCCAACGCTATCGCTGGCGACCATCGCTGGCGCTAGGGACCGTCGCTGGCGATCTGAATGGCTGATGGTACGCTCGCCACTGGTCGCTGGCGCGATCGCCACAGCTCGCCGCCTTCCTCGCAACGTGCAGAGAGTGGCTAGCGAGCTACGGGCAGAACTCGACGGGAGATCCTTGGGGCGCGACATGACGAGCGCGATTTGTGGGCCCACATAAGAGATTCGGTCCGCAGGATCTAACACACTGATAACATGTTACGAATCTGACTTAACTAGGCAACGGGTTTAACTTAAGGCCTAGGCTTAGGAGCCTAGGCCAAGCAGGAGTCGAGTAGTTTGAGGCAAGGAGAATTGAGAATGAATTGGTTTGACTATAGTACACAAGGTACATATAGCAAAATGAACAAAGGTGCACCACCAAACAATAGGAACTACACTACATTAAATCCTACAGGCACTTATATAACATAACAAACATTATAATTATAATGTCAGGCAGAAAGGACAAGACTGTTCGTGTAATGCTCTTGAAATCTATAAAGTGCAAGACATGGTTTCCCCCCCACGCAAACACCCTTCTCCCTTTACCAAAAACACGGGTTCAGAGTCAAGGGTGTAATATGCCGTACTCTAGGTATAAGCAACTAGAGGTTGCTGTTCTCTGCGTATCACCGTGTCGCCGAACATGGCCGGTGACTGCCACTACGATCGCCTTATCAAGAAAATGGTCGGGGCTCCGACATTTGAGCTAGAGCTACGTGAGTGTGACGACGACGCCTTTCTAGCAGAGAATAACGTTTACTATTCTCGAGACAAATGTCTCGATGCTGTCGAGGAGTTTGCGTTGGCTCGTGGTTTTGGGATATACAGCGATACGGTTCGGAAGAACTACGTTCTTATTATATGCAAGGCAATGGCAATCGGTCACTCTCCGGCTTGCGAGTGGCACTGCGAGTATGCCAAGGACAGACATATTAGCCTATGGGTTATCACCACCTAGTGCGATCAACGGATGCGGATGTCCTCCGCACCTGAAGGCTCGTGGGGCGCGGAGCTTGGGAACCTCGTGCGTGCGGACCCGTTTCTGCCCCCCAAGACCATCTGCAACCAGATCGCCGCTCTGAAAGGCCCCATCGTGAACTACCATCAAGCGAACAGGCAAGTCAATGAAAGGCTACTCTACTCTGTCACAGTAGCAGGCAGAACGAGGAGCCATAGCTAGGGTTTAGCTGGCTAGGCAAGAGAAAATAGGCAAAGGAGAGAGGGGTTTGCACTAGCAAGCAGGTGGATACATATAGGAAACCCAAAGGGGCCGTACTCACTATAGAGTACCCCACTGCAGGCTAGACAAACTGCACATTCTGACACACCCCCATAGTCAAAGTGGGGTATGATCAGCACAACAAGCAGCAGTTTATAGTTCACAAATATAAGCAAAGCTAGAAGCTATCACAGAGGGCAAGTGTGGAGGAGGAGGGACTATGAGAGGAGAGGAGGTAGTGGGCGGCAGCTGAAGCTGCTGGCACACGGCGCAACTGGAGCAACTGGCACACGGGCAACTGGAGCAACTGGCACACTGGCAACTGGAGCAACTGGCACACGGGCAACTGGAGTAACTGGCTCCGCAGCTAAACGAGCGGCAGGAGCAATTGACTATCGGGCGACTGGAGCAACGGGCTCACGGGCAACTAGAGCAACGGGCTCACGGGCGACTGGCGCAACGGTCTCACGGGCGACTGGAGCTGCTGGCTTCACGGCGGCCACCCCCCTTCAACCTCCCCCTTTGTCCCAAAACTCCCGTTCACACCCCCTGCTGCACCCCTAGCTTCACTCCCACGACACCCCCCTATCACCACTCCTTCGGCTCCCACACACCCACCCCCCTCAGCGGCAGCTGCAGTAGTGGGAGACGGAGGAGGAGGAGGAGACGGTTCACACACCCGCCACCCCCATACCCGCAACGCAGGGCAGAAACGCGGGCAGCAGCTGGGGCGGCGTGTGAACGGAAGCGGGGCGGCGCGCTGGCCCTCAGGGCGCCTCGACGAGCGACGGGAGAGGGCGACGCGCGGCCCCCCCAGGGCGCCGCGACGGGCGACGGGAGGGGTGACGCGCGGCCCCCCAGGGCGCCACGACGGGCGACGGGAGGGGCGACGCGCAGCCCCCTAGGGCGCCGCGACGGGCGACGGGAGGGGGGGGGCGACGCGATGGCCCCCAGGGCGCCGTGACGGGCGACGGGCAGGGCGACGCACAGCCCCCCAGGGCTCCGCGACGGGCGACGGGATGGGGGGGGGGGACGCGCGGGCCCCCAGGGCTCCGCGACGGGCGACGGGCAGGGCGACGCGCGGACCCCTAGGGCGCCACGACGGGCGACGGGCAGGGCAGCGCGCGGGCCCCCTGGGCGCCGCGTGAGGCAGTAAACTGCCGTGCGCCTCGGAGCGCACGGCGGGCAGAAAACCGCCGCGCGCCATGAGCGTGTGGCGGGCAGAAAAAATCGTCGCGCGCCACGGGGCGCGCGACAGACACGAAAGCAGCGGAAGCTTAGGGTGGGCCCACAAGTTAGGATCGAATGAGCTCTTAATACCATGTCACAGTAGCAGGCAGAACGAGGAGACATAGCTAGGGTTTAGCTGGCTAGGCAAGAGAAAATAGGCAAAGGAGAGAGGGGTTTGCACTAGCAAGTAGGTGGATACATATAGGAAACCCAAAGGGGCCGTACTCACTATAGAGTACCCCACTGCAGGCTAGACAAACTACACATTCTGAAATACTCACTATCGCTTTTGGTTACCGCATCATTCTTGGTTTCAGATGTTCATACCTAAAGATTAGCGTGCGGATTTTTACTTTCGTTTCGCTTTGCTCTACCCTTCTTGCAGGCTACGAGAGCTGATCAAGACGGAGATCTACGGGGGTTGGCATGACTCGTTTTGCCTGTTCCCAGCACTTGCGGCCCGTTTCAAGAGCATTGACCCAGAGTCGTCAGTGAAGATCTTGACGTACAACGGCCACTTCCATCGGATCTTCATCTCCCCATCTGCGCCAAGGGTCACATTGCAGCACTGCAGAACCGTCGTTGCCCTTGATGGCACGTTCGTGCTAAGTGCACAGCTAGCGTCGCTGCTCATTGTTGCTATCCTGGACGGGAACCAGAAAAACATACTGCTAGCATGGTCTCTCGTTGAGTCGAAGAACAAGGACTCATGGACCTGGTTATTGGACAACTTCACAAAGACGTTCCCTGAATGGATGCAGCTGGAGAAAGCGGCAATCATCAGCGATCGAGACAAGGGTTTGGTTCCTTCAGGGAAGGAGTTCCTCCCTGACAGCATCCCCTATTATTTTTGTAGGTGGCATTTGGAGCACAACATCCACCGGTGGGGAACGGACGCGAAGATATTCTTCTAGCGCATGTTGAAGTGTGTCATTTGAAGCCCAAATGGAAGGCCCTTTTGAGGGAATAGCGTGTGGGCTTCACCAAAATGGTGGACTACCAGTTCAGGGAAAGAGGAGAAGCCACGGACTACCAGTCAACAAGAGCAAACAACGGTCACAAGACCAGTTCACAAGAACAAAACAAATCTCGGGGTGGATCTCAAGATCACCACGCAGTCCGAGAACAAGCAAGGGGCCACAAGGCAAGTTCACATGCAATGACATAGCAAATATAGAAGATGCAAGAGTACAAGACATGCAAGACACGATCTCTACAAAAGCAAGGGGCCTCAAGGCCTGTCCACAAGCACAGATATAGGATATATAGTGAGATGCAATGGTACAAGACAAAGCATCTCTATGCAAGCAAGTGAGGCTCTATAGATACAAGGCCAACCTCGGTGTAGAAACGCTGGTGGTCACAAGGCGGCAACGCCTTGGTGAAGATATCTGCAGTGTTGGCCTCAGAGACCACACGTCGCACGAGTGCCTGGCCACGCTGCTGCAACTATCACAGAAGGAAGTAACAAAGCTGGATGTGCTTCGCCTTCCCAACCAGTCGGGGCTCCTCGCACAACAGGATAGCAGACATGTTGTCAGTGAACAAGACTGGGGGAGAGCGAGGCCGTTCACTGAGGTCGGTGAGGAGGAAAGACAGCCATTGCTTTTGGGCGGCCATCGCCGCAGCGTACACCTCTGCCTCGCAGCAGGAACTAGAGACGGACGACGCTCGAGTCGACCACCACGAAACAGCTCCGGTTCCAAGGCTGAAAGAGTAACCCTGTGTAGACCGCAGCGACTCTGCGCCGTCGGCCCACGACGAGTCCGAGAAACCTGTAAGTGTAACTGGCTGCTTCCCTCCAAGGACAAGTTCCGTGCCTGATGTACTCGTCACATACTTCGCCACCCTCTTAGCATCGTACCAGTAGGAAGGTCGGTGTCTCCTGGGCGCAACAAAGCGCGCAAGGATGCTAAGAGGGTAAGCTAGGTCTGGGCGAGTACAGGTCATCAGGTACATGAGACAACCCACCATATCAGGATATGGACCACTGGACTCAAATGGCTCGTCCGAAGGTGGAGCCGTGAGCCCATGATCCACAGCAAGAGGGGTGGGCTGTACCTTGGATAACGGGAAGCGAAACCGCGTAAGGATCTGCTCGACCATATGCGACTGCGTTAGCGTAATGGTGCGAGCTGCTCTGTCCCTCGTGATCTGCAGGCCAAGGTAGCGCT